CACACCCCCCACGGTTCCTGCCTGACATGGGAGGTGCCTGGACCGCTGTGCACGGCACACACCCGTGGTTCCTGCCCGATACAGGAGGTGCCTGGACCGCTGTGCACGGCACACACACCCCACGGTTCCTGCCTGACATGGGAGGTGCTGTCTGGGGCGGCCCCTCTCAGTAGCCCTCTGACCTTCAGGCTTCAGCCCTCCAGCACCCCGACCCCATGACTGAGGGCTGGACGTCCATACTGAGTGGTGCCCTCCAGGGTGTGGAGCAGCCTGTGAGGACCACAGTAGGTGAGGAACCCTAGGAAGCCAAGGGCAACCCGAAAACCACCCAGGTCTGATCTTTAGGGGTGCAAGCCTTCAAATCTTCTAGCAATTTTGAGTCCACGCTCCCCCTGCAGGGAGTCCCGTCCGTGGCCGTGATCGGATGATAGAAGCACGCAGGGCCACTGTGCGGACTGAGGGTCTAGGCCCTCGGGCCACGGGGACTATAGTGGGGAACCCTGGGCATCCCTGCCCACTGTGTATCCGCCACGGGGACTCGCTTGTCCTTTCTGTTTGTGATTTTCTTCTTCCTTCTGAAACGAAAATGTCAGAAGCGATTCCAGGAAGGTCAGAGTTCTTTGGGGCTGGGTTCAGCGGGAGGTTTCCGCCTGCATAGTCAGTCTCTGGGCTAAGGTCAGCATCTTCTGTCCCCTCTGGTTGGGGGCTATCTGGGGGGTTGACTCTGTCCCCTTGCAGAGCCCCATGGTCTGGCCAGATGGGGCCTCACCACCCCCACAGCTGTGGCTCTTGGCCAAGTAGGTTCATGAACCTTAAAGACTCCAGCTAGAGGGCCCAGAGTCGGGGCAGAATGCACTCCTCAGGGCGCTGGCTGGGGGCGAAGGGGACACGGCTGTCACTCCCAGTGTCTTCCTGCCGGGGACAGGCTGTGGTCAGTCCGGGCACCATGCTTTAAAACATCCCACATGTGTGTTTGCCGAACTGGTCCCATGACCCCTTTCCCGAATCTCACCAGATGTTTCCCTGGGAGAGACCCCGTTGCTCACGTAAACAGGGGTGCATGTTTTCCCAGGGAGGCCAGCAGCAGGCACCGGCTCCTTGACCACCATGCAGAGATCTTCATGGACTCAGAGGAATATATTTTGGGTCTTTGCGTGTGAGCAAGCAGAGCCCAGAAATAAATCTGTGTCTGTAACAGGAAAAGACAGGCTCTCCCGCATGTGGGCTGCCTTTTCTCCTGACTCAGAGTGCCCCGTGGAGTCAGTGCTGTTCCTGTGGGTCACCAGGCTGGAAGACCACCACCTCTCCAGCCTCAGTGCCCTCCCTGGCTCCCCAGCACTGAGGAGGTGGCTTTGAGCTTCTTGGCCGAAGGAGTCCGTGCTTACGCAGGCTGGGGCTCAGCTGGACCAGGGCTGCTGAGAGCACCAGAGGCTCCCCTGCTGGGAAACAGGTCTTGTAATACCCAGTTTGCGATGAGGAAATGCAGGCTCAGAGAGGTTAAGTCACTTTGTGGAAACCACACGGGGGCAGGGCAGGATTCCAGCCCAGGCCATGCCGTCCCAGGCCTCTAAGCACGATGCCCACTCAATCTACCCCTCGAGGGCCACAGAAGGATGTGGGCTCATCTTGCCAGAGCCCCTGGTGCTGCCTCCTCCAGTTCATGCTGAGATCATCAGTTCTCAACCCACACCTTATGTCCTTCAGCCCTGGGCTCCCCACAAGAGTCCCCAGGCCGCTGTCTCCCTGAAGCAGCCTCAGGCCCCCACTCCTGGGTCCACGCTTCTGCACAGCTCCCCTAACCACTGGGACAGGCCCCTGCACAAAGCCCTGCAGGACCCCAACCTGCAGCTTCAGGGTGGGAGCAGGGGCTGAGCGGTGGCCCCCGAGCCACATGCTCCTGGAGCATGCGAACGTGGCCTTGTTTGGAAGAAGGGTCTTCACAGAAGGAATTAAGTTAAACATTTCTGGATGAGATCATCCTGGATTTAAGGTGGGCCATAAATCCAATAGCAGAGAATGGCAGAGGGAGATTCGAGACCTGGTGAGGAGAGGAGACGGTGCCACCGAGGAGCCAGCAGCTGGAGCGATGTGGCCACAGCCAGGGAACACCTGGAGCCCCCGGAAGCTGGGAGAGGCAGGAAGGATCCTCTCCTAGAGCCTTCGGAGAGAGCGCGGCCCTGGAGACACTTTGACTGTGGACTTCAGGCCTCCAGAGCTGAAGGAGAATGAACCTCTGTAGTTTTAAGCTGCCCACTTTGGGGTCACGTGTTACAGCAGCTGCAGGAGGATCCCACAATGGCCAGCATGGCACACACCTCAGGGCCTCAGTTTTCCCAGCTGTGAAATGAGGATGATGATGGGACCTGCCTCACAGGCTTGCGGTGAGGACGAAATGAGTTAATATGCATGGAATGCATGCAGCAGGGACCGGCGCATAACTGACATTGAGTGGATGTCAGCCCCTGTCAACATTACTATTACTGTTACTGTATTATTGCCCTTCGTTCATTCATTCCATAAATATGTGCAAAGCGGCTGCTCTGAGCCTGCCGTGGGCAGCAGGGCAGCACAGAAGAGACCTGAGTGGCGGTGCTGGGGAGAGGATGGCGTAGGGCAGGCCTCATGGATGCAGCCGGAGGCCTCACCATCAGCATAAACCACCGTGGGTGGGCTTCCGGAGGAGCGACAAGACAGGATTCACTCCATGGCCATTTGCTTTTCTGTAGGATCAGGAAGAAGCATGGGATGAAGCTGGGGCGTCAAGGAGGGTCTCCCTTCCTCGGTGGGTCACCTGAGGTGCCGGGGCCCTGCGTTTAACTCTCTCTGCTGGACCTGGAAGCTTCGCCCAGGTCCCCGGGACCGTCGCATTCACAGGCTTCCACCAAGGCTCTCACCGAGTACATTGACTTGACCCACTTCAGATTTTGTTTTCTTTTTTTTTTTTTTTTTGAGATGGAGTCTGGCTCTGTCGCCCAGTCTGGAGTGCAGTGTTCAGATCTCAGCTCACTGCAAGCTCCGCCTCCCGGGTTTACACCATTCTCCTGCCTCAGCCTTCCGAGTAGCTGGGACTACAGGCGCCCGCCACCACGCCCAGCTAGTTTTTTGTATTTCTTAGTAGAGACGGGGTTTCACCATGTTAGCCAGGATGGTCTCAATCTCCTGACTTCGTGATCTACCCGTCTCGGCCTCCCAAAGTGCTGGGATTACAGGCTTGAGCCACCGCGCCCGGCCAGATTTTGTTTTCTTAAAACTCATCCCCAAGTACACTTTGGGAGGCCGAGGCAGGCAGACCGCCTGAGGTCAGGAGTTCCAGACCAGCCTGGCCAACATGGTGAAATCCCATCTCTACTAAAAATACAGAAATTAGCCAGGCATGGTGGTGCACACCTGTAATCCCAGCTACTCGGGAGACTGAGGCAGGAGAATCGCTTGAACCCAGGAGGTGGAGGTTGCAGTGAGCCGAGATAGCGCCACTGCACTCCAGCCTGGGCAACAAGAGTGAGACTCCATCTCAAAAAAAAACAAAAAATGATTAAAAACAAAACAAACAAACAAACAAACAAAAACTCATCCCCAAGTGACTTTGGCTTCATTGCTTTTTGTCAACAAGCTACAACGAACCTATGTACTTGTGTCAAACACTCAAGGGGTCCAGAACCCAGGTCAGGCCCTGAGCCTCCACCTGGTCGCTCTGCACCCAGAGGGGATGGATGAGGTCCCAGCCGGCACTCGCTCTTCCTTCTGTCTGCCTTTTTGCCAAGACTTCCCATCCCTTCCTTTCAGTCTCAGAATTGTGGAAAGGAGAGGTGGATGGGACCTCAGTCTAGAAGCCCTGGTCTGACCCCCAAGCCCCGGGGGACCAAGGCCCCCACTGCCCTTAGGCAGCTCTGGCTCAGGAGGACTCGGCGCCGTTTTGCTTCTTGTTGCGTCAGCACCCCGGGCAGCTGGGTGGTCTCAGGGTGACAGGAAGGCCGATGGATGTGACATGTGTCTTTGATGGGGAAATACGTTGCGGCCGCATACATGCTGCTTATTTGGTAAAGGGACCCTCTTAAATGCGAAAGCCAGAGGGGAGAGGGAAAGCTGGAGACGTTGGGGGCATCTTTGCACCTGATCCCCGATTAAGAGTGGGGAGTCCAGGCAGGGCTGCCTGTGTTTGAGCGCAGCCTGTGTTTGTGGTGACTTCATCTCCCCCAGCCTCAGTGTTCCCATCTGGAAAGGCGGCCTTTCTCATCAAGCTGCCCATGGAGGTTGATGGTGTCATTTCTCTTGAAGCCCCTAGCTTATGCCGCATCCTCGCCAACCAGCGCTCGGTGACTCTCTGCTGTTCACTGTTGTCATTGAGGACCAAACAGAGGTGACTTGGCCAAGCTTGCAGCTGTTTAGGGAGGGCGCTGGACTTGAACTCAGGCCTGCCTTCGAGCCCGTGCACCAGGCTGCCCATTCTCTTTAGGATCAAGTCAGTGCAGATATAAGGGAACCCGGGACGTGGACCCGAGGCAGGCAGAGGTGTGGCCCTGACCCACAGGGGAAGATGCCCAGAGTAGGGACCATCTTCAGCCATCCCCTCCTCGGCACTGCTCAGGCACCCACAGGTCCCTGAGTGATCCCAGGTGGAGGCCGAGGGGTCTGGGCTCTGCGTCCTGAAAGGTCCTCCTTTGTGGCCTGGGCCACTCTGGGGGCCCTCGACTAAACCCTCCTGAAAACTTCCCCCTTGTTTTGGAGTCTGTACCCCCCGGGTATCCTCCTCGAAACCCTCCTGGCTCTTAAAGGTTCCTGTGTGACCTGGGGGAGCTCCCATAGCTCCCTGCACTTCCTCCCACCTTCTGCTAAAAGGGGATTCTAGATGCGCCTCAAAGTGTTGTCAACGTGGAATGAGGTCGTGGTGAAAGCAGCCATGCACGGTAGCTGCTCAATAAATTGTGGTGGTATCTGAAGATCAAGGTAGTTTTCCACACAGATCCACCCACCCTGACCCAGAACCTTCCTTCTCTCTCCAGACCAAAATCCATGGAGTGGGGTTTGTGAAAATCCACGCGCCCTGGAACGTGCTGTGCAGAGAGGCCGAGTTTCTGAAACTGAAGATGCCGACGAAGAAGGTTGGTATTGATGGTTCTGCTCCGAAATGAATCGCCAAGTCTAGAGGTCACTTGATGCCCGGCGGTGAAACATGCATACCTCGAGGCCCTGAGTTTTATAAAAAGCCTAGTGGGCTTCACGGCTACCCCTGGGAGGACCATGTGGCTCGATGTGACAAGGTCCCCAGGCTCCGGAGTCCTGATGACCCAGCCCTGGGTGGTCTCTAGAGACCCCAGACCAAACCCTACCAAGGGATGGTACAGGCAGAAGAGCCCACCTCTCAGCCCCCAAGGAATCGTCTGTACATGCAGATGCAGTTACAGTTCGGGCCCTGGTGCTTTCGTGTTTGTGGCATCTCAGCTAATTTATCAGATTCATTTTAATTACGTTTTCTGGCTTACTGGGATTTTTCTTTTTAATCTGTGAAAACCTTGTATCTAAAAAGCAGTTTGACAGTGTGTTCCCAGAAGCTTAGCTTGGAGTCGGTATTTACTCTGGCAGGCGGACGGGTGAAGCTGGGCTAGCTAGCAAATCAGCCTCCTGCTTCTCGCGTCCTCAGAGACCACTTGGATTCCCTCTTTCGAAGCAAAAGTAAAGTTTAGGGGGGAAATTCTCTGGAATGCATTGTAATTGTGCTTTTGGCTGGGTGCTGCTGAAACTCCGGGCTTTCACGGCGTGGGCAGGGAGGGGCGGTGCATTCCGGCCCACCCAGGCGCTCTGCTCTCAGGACGCGCCATTGCATGGGGTGGGATGGTTCTCTGGCCGTCTGAGAACAGATTCCATGGATCGTGGTCCAGCCGGGTGACGCGGCTCCCCGGTTGCTTGTCTTATCTGCAGATGTACCACATTAATGAGACCCGTGGCCTCCTGAAAAAAATCAACTCTGTGCTCCAGAAACTCACAGACCCCATCCAGCCCAAAGTGGCCGAGCACAGGCCCCAGACCATGAAGAGACTCTCCTATCCCTTCTCCCGGGAGAAGCAGCATCTGTAAGTGAGGACCCCCAACCTGCTCCCCAAAGGGTCCTGTGTGTGGGGATTTCATCTTCTAGCATGAGAAATGCAGATTGATTATCTGCCCCCCACCAAAAGAAGAGCGTGTTCTTGTAAGAGCTTGGTGGTTGCTAAGCCCAGAAGACGTCGTGGAAATGATTTCTAAGATCACTGTTAACTGAGGAGTTAGGAGGACACAGAATCTTGTTCTGCTTGGCGACACAGGAAAAACTTCTTTGGCCTGTGTGAGGACCCCAAAGCAGTGGTCTGGACATGCCTTCCCACCCGCTCCCTGCCGCCGCCACCCCACCCCCCTCCAGGGTCTGGCTAACGAGGCCTCCTGCAGTCCAGGTAGCCTTGAGCCCAAGTGAGTCTCACTCCTTGTGGCAGAAATTGAAAAGCATCCCCAGGCAGGAGGCCTGAGGCCCCAGGGACTCACCGCCAGCTGGCTTGCCTGGCAGGGCCATGCCTATTCTGGAACCTTCCCTCCTCCTCCGCTCCCGAGGGCAGTGGGGCGTAACCACCTGGGTCAGCAGTGACTGCAAGGCCTCTGCGGGCCTCACCGGGCAGAGTTGGAGCGTGGGCAGAGGTGGGAATAGAAAGCTTGAGCCGTGGGAACCCAGACGGACTTTGGATGGAAGTTCTAAGGGGCAGGAGGGCTCCTGGACAGTGCCGGCCTCACAGGGTCAGGGGCATGGAAGAGCAGACAGGGAGGACAAACAGGTGCCTCAGCTCACAGGGGCCCTTGCTCATAAATGTAGTAGGGGTGGAGCCATGAGCATCACAGGATGCTTTTACCAGGTCCTCATTCCTAGAGGGGACAGGACATGCCACCAGAGAGAAAGAAGCGACCCCCAAGCCCAGCCCTCTCCTCCAGCTCCAGAACAGGGACTTGGGACATTAGAGGAAACCGCCCTCCTTCCAGGACCCCCGCCAACCTCCCTCGTCTCTGCCCTGGGTTGACTGCCAGCCCTACTGCCTGGCCAGGGCTGGGATCACCTCCAGGCTCCGTGGAGGTGAAAACCCAGGCACCCTCCCCAGCTCTCCCCCAAGTGCCTTGGAGCGCAGGGAGAGCAGGGAGTGTGTTCCCAAGATGCCCCTCCACCCTCAGGAAGCCTTGGGCCATCCCTGTGCAGCCCATCAGGACCCAAAGCATTGGAAGGGAGATTGTTTTCAAGGTTGGAACTGTCTGCCCGTGGCGGTGATACTGCCCCTGTCCCCCACCTTGTTGAAGCAGAGGCTTTCAAAACTGCCCGCTGAGGATGTCACCAAAAGGAAGCAGGGATCTTCCGGGGGGGCTGTGGGGGAGGGGG